TCTGCCGACCTGAGGCTGAGCAGCGCACGGCGGCCCTCCTTCTGCCACCTGTCGGGCCGAGCGCGCACACGGCTGGCCAGACGGGGCCTGGACCACCTTCTCGACGCGCGGCTCTCGGTGGCAGAAAATTAGCCTGACGAAGGACCCAGCCATATGCAGGTGTGAGTGCCGCAATTGTGATTCACTTTTTCGGTGGTGATCCCTATGAGGCAACGAACCGTGCTAGGGGTGTGCCGAAATGAGTGGCGTGGTACACAACGCGAACGAAAACGAACAACACAATGCGCACTGCGCCACGGGGACCTTCGGTGGGGCTCCATATGGGGCCACGAAACGCTGTACTGGGTGAGGGAGACGCATGCGCACTGCGCCACGGGGAGCTTCGGTGGAGTTCCCTATGGGGCCACGAAGCGTGTGAGGGGTGTGCCGAAATGAATGGCGGGGACGCATGTGGACTGTGCCACTGGGACCTTCAGCGGAGCTCCGATGGGGCCACGAAGCGTGTGAGGGGTGTGCCGAAGTGAGTGGCGGGGACGCATGCGAACTGTGCCACTGGGACCTTCGGCGGAGCTCCTATGGGGCCACGAAACGTGTGAGGGGTGTGCCGAAATGAGTGGTGGTGACGCATGCGGACTGGTGGTATGGGGCCACGAAGCGTGTGAGGGGTGTGCCGAAATGAGTGGCGGGGACGCATGCGGACTGTGCCACTGGGACCTTCGGCGGAGCTCCTATGCGGCCACGAAACGTGTGAGGGGTGTGCCGAAATGAGTGGCGGGGGCGCATGCGAACTGTGCCACTGGGACCTTCGGCGGGGCTCCTATGAGGCCACGAAGCGTGTGACGGGTGTGCCGAAATGAGTGGCGGGGACGCCTGCGAACTGTGCCACTGGGACCTTCAGCGGAGCTGCAATGGGGCCACGAAACGTGTGAGGGGTGTGCCGAAATGAATGGCGGGGACGCATGCGAACTGTGCCACTGGGACCTTCGGCGGAGTTCCTATGGGGCCACGAAAGTGTGAGGGGTGTGCCGAAATGAGTGGCGGGGACGCATGCGAATTCTGCCACTGGGACCTTCGGCGGAGCTCCTATGGGGCCACGAAACGTGTGAGGGGGTGTGCCGAAATGAGCGGTGGGGACGCATGCGAACTGTGCCACTGGGACCTTCGGCGGAGCTCCTATGCGGCCACGAAACGTGTGAGGGGTGTGCCGAAATGAGTGGCGGGGGCGCATGCGAACTGTGCCACTGGGACCTTCGGCGGGGCTCCCATGGGGCCACGCAACGTGTGAGGGGTGTTCCGAAATAAGTGGCGGGGACGCATGCGAACTGTGCCACCAGGACCTTCGGCGGAGCTCCTATGGGGCCACGAAGCGTGTGAGGGGTGTGCCGAAATGAGTGGCGGGGACGCCTGCGAACTGTGCGACTGGGACCTTCGGCGGAGCTCCTATGAGGCTACGAAACGTGTGATGGGTGTGCCGAAATGAGTGGCGGGGACGCCTGCGAACTGTGCCACTGGGACCTTCGGCGGAGCTGCAATGGGGCCACGAAACGTGTGAGGGGTGTGCCGAAATGAGTGGCGGGGGCGCATGCGAACTGTGCCAGTGGGACCTTCGGCGGAGTTCCTATGGGGCCACGAAGCGTGTGAGGGGTGTGCCGACATGAGTGACGGGGACGCATGCGGACTGTGCCACTGGGACCTTCGGCGGAGTTCCTATGGGGCCTCGAAACGTGTGAGGGGTGTGCCGAAATTAGTGGCGGGGACGCATGCGAACTGTGCCACTGGGACCTTCGGCGGGGCTCCCATGGGGCCACGAAACGTGTGAGGGGTGTGCCGAAATGAGTGGCGGGGACGCATGCGAACTGTGCCACCTGAACCTTCGGCGGAGCTCCTATGGGACCACGAAACGTGTGACGACGATGATGATGATGATGATGATGATGATGATGATGATGATGATGATGATGATGATGATGATGATGATGATGATGATGATGACGATGACGATGTCGATGACGATGATGATGATGATGATGTGATGATGATGATGATGATGATGATGATGATGATGATGATGATGATTATGATGGTGATGATGATGATGATGATGATGATGATGATGCTGATGCTGCTGCTGCTGCTGATGATGATGATGATGATGATGATGATGATGATGATGATGATGATGATGTGATGATGATGATGATGATGATGATGATGATGAGGGAGGGGAGGAGGGGGAGGAGGAGAGGAGGAGGAGGAGGAGGAGGAGGAGGAGGAGGTGGAGGAGGAGGAGGAGGAGGAGGAGGAAACGCGGGGACCGTCTCTTCAAAACGAGGACCCAACAACACAGGTTGGTTGGGAAAAACACACTGGTTCCTGGCGCCTCCGCGCCTGCCCCCACCGGGCTGCTGGCTTCCGAGGGAGGTGCCCTCGCCTGGGTTCGCATACGCGGCAGGTTGACGCCCATCCCTTTGCTGGGCTTTTTCGTCCCTGTCGCCACTGGGCTACCCTTCTGGCCCGTCCCTACGTCGCTCCTGGCACGTGCTCTTTCCCCTGGTGGATCCTGGAGAGCGCCTACCATGTGGCTCATCCTATGGCCCTGGAGATGGCCTGCTGGTTCGTACGTCCCCCCCCCTTGTATTCCAAATTCCCGCTCTTCGGCAAGGTATTTCCTGCTACTCGCCGCCTGAGCCTGACCTTCGCGCTCGTCTTCTCCTCTTTGTCTCCCTCGTTTCTCTTCTTTCGCCTTCGTCCTCTGTCGTTTCCTTCGCCCCCTTCTCAGTTGTCCGTGCTTCCGCCTCTTCCGCGTCGCCGCTGTGCTTCGCCTGTTAATTTTTCCGCGTGTCGCCGGCGGCTACCGCCCTGTGCTCGACTCTTGCTTTCGACCCCTTGGACGGCGCGCAGCCACCTGCGTCGCTCGCGAGCAAGTATCGGCACCAGCCCATTGAAACGATCTCTAGGTCAGTTGTTTCCGGAAATGGACATACATGAGAATTTGTGGAACAAGGAGATGGACGCCAGTCTAACGAACAGAAAGATCAATCCAGGTAGGCCTCCGAAGCAGGGTAGCTTAGTGTCGAGCGTACCTCCATTTCATATTTCTCAGCTTAGACAGCGTAGCGTAGCTTAGCTCAACCGAGCTATGCTTGGCGTACTCGGCTCATCTAGGCTCTGATTAGCTGTAGCTCCCCATTTGGCTCCCTGGACTTGCTTATTTGGGACCCCGTTGAATGTTCTCGGTGGCCTCTACGAGCTCTGCTGGGCCTTGCGGGGGCCTTCTGGGCCTTCCTGAGGTTCTGCTCGAAGCTGTCGAAATATGAAAATACATGGCCCTAGATGGGCTTCCCATGGAAGCCCAACTTGAGGGCCCTTGGGGCTGCCTTGGGATTTTCCAAGTTGTTTTCGGAAGGCTTTTAGGTTTTCTTGGGTCAGCTTTGGACGCCTCCTGTGTTTGCCTTGGGCATTCGGAGGGCCGTCTTGGGGCCTCAAGGGCGCATCGGATTCCGAAACTTCGGAACTCATTGAATTGTCCACGGGGTTAGCATGATTTCGTTCTTTGTTTGAAGCATCCGTCGGAGGCTTTGGGGCTACCTCAGAACCATTTTGGGGCATTCGTGTGGCCACTGGGGGCCATGCCGGAGGCCATGTGGATCAACTTGGCCATCTTGCATTATCTTGGAGGCAACCCTGGGCCATCTTGGAACCATCCTGGGCCACCGTGGACACTCCAACCAACCCCTCTCGATCCCTCCAGTCCAGACTATTGTGGATGGGGGAGGGGGAGAGGTACATCTTTTCCCGATGGGCTAGTTCGCTAAATCACTTACGCCAAGGTGACTAGTGGGATTCACGGCCGATGCTTGTCGAACGCGAGGAAATATGGCGATGCGCAGGGACGTTATGAGTGCAGTTTGAATCATGGCATGAGGGATTGGGCGTAGGGAAGTGGCAATGACATTATCAATTTTGTCAGCTGCATGTGTTGCACTGAACATGGTGCCTTTGTGTATACCACAGGACATCCGGATACAGGACAGCAGGTTTGCTTGCGACGCGCCGTCCGTAGTTCAAGAGTATCATGCTTATTTCTCTTACCAGAGCTCGTGTCAGACTAGCGAAAGGATTCTTCGCGCACTTTTGATTGTAGGCGTTGATCGTCCTTGTTCGCTCGTGCTTGATGCATCTTTCGAATACTGCCTGTAGCAATGTGATGCCGATTGCTGCTGTTCTTTCATCTTGAGTTGGTCCATGAGTGTCATTTCGTGACCGGGTGTTTTTTTTTACCAGAAGGTGAATATTATTTCTATGGCTGTTATCGGTTGATGCTTTATCACATGTGATGCCAGTTGTCGTGTTACTTCATATGAGTTCTTGTTTGTTTGCTTCATTTATGTATATATATATATATATATCTATCTATCTCTTTCTCTCTCTCTCTCTTTCGGTCCTCTCTATTTCCTCTCTCTCTCTCTGTCTCCCCTGTGTTGCTCTTCCAGTCCATCTATCGTTCTTTTAGTTGGTGATTCCCGAAGTCTCTGATATTGTCGTGCGAGGCAAGCAGCACAGTTGTTCTTTGTTATGCGCTTCACCGTTTTTATCTCATAAGGCGTCTGCCCCTATATCAGTTTCCTGCGATCCCATCGCTGTCCGTGGTCACCGTGTCTTCCCCAGGCCATGCACCATCCGGTGACTCTCCTCTCCCTCACCTTTTTTTCCCTGCCCCACCCGGGTGGGGCTAGGACCTGGATGTATCGTTCCATCGTTCCAGAGCGCTCTGGAATGGATGCGGCGGCCGATGCACTGTCCACGACTGCCAGATCTCTGAGGTTCCCGATCTGTCCGCTCCGACCTCGTCCTGGGCCTGGCTTCGTCTCGCGTGTCTGGGCAGGAGGCAAGGAGGAGGGCAAGGAGGAGGAGGAGGAGGAGGAGGAGGAGGAAGAGGAGGAGGAGGAGGAGGAGGAGGAGGGGGGGGGAGAGGAGGAGGGCGACGATGTAGTAGACAGGGCGGGCGGCGGTCCAGGATGCGCAGCACGGCGCCTCCGGCGGAGGCACCCGCCGAGCCTGCCTCTTGCTGTTGGCCTCCGGCCTCGCCGCGGTGCCGCCGCTTGGCCCTCGCTGGGCAGGCCAGGCAGCAGCCTCGCGGCGTGCCCAGGCCTCCTCGATGCGCGACGGGGATCGTGTGCCTGGCGAGCCTGGGAGGCAAAAACACAATTCTGGACGCCCAGAAACGATGCCCAGAGGAATTGCCGCGATCAGGGTAGTGGGCAGCACACAGAGGAAGGGTCCCCCAGTGGAGGCCTCTTGGAGCGTCTTGGGTGCCTTCGAGAGCTTCTTGGGGCCTCTTGGGGGTCTCTTGGGAGCATCTTGGAGGCCTCTTGGGCGCCTGTTGGGGCCGCCTTGGCGCCTCTTGGGGCCCTCTTGAAGCGCTCTTGGGAGCCTTGGGAGCGCTCTTGGGGCCATCTTGGGGGACATCGATCAAACAAGAAGCGAGCATTAGTTAGCATTGCCCCTCGGGAGCCCAAACAATCGCCTCTTGGGGCGCTCTTCGGGCGCTCTTGGAGCGCTCTTAGGCTCTCTTGGGGCCGTCTTGGGGCTCTCTGGAGCCTCTCTTGGAGCCCTCTTGGGCCATCTTTGAGCCATCTTTGAGGCCTCGGATGGCCATCGGAAGCGAAATGGCGAGAAAGCCAAACACATCGAAATTCCTGAGGTTTTGGCCTCTTCGGGGCCTCCTGGGGGAGCTCTTTGGCCATTGGGAGCCGTCTTGGAGCGGTCTTGGGGCATCTTGGAGCATCGTGGGAGCCATTATGAGACATCTTGGGATATCTTGAGCCATCTTGGAGGTCATCTTGGGCTCTCCCAGGCGCTCTTGGAGTCATCTTAATCAGTGCCCCCCCCAAGAGGCCAACATGTGGCTAAAACCTTAGTAGAATCAATGATTTGGCATTCTCGCCGAGGCCTCTTGGAGCATCTTGGGTGCCTCTCGGGGGTCTTTTGGGGCCTCTTGGGGGTCTCTTGGGAGCCTCTTGGGGGCATCCTGGGGGCCTCTTGGGGCCTCGTGGCCACCTCTTGGGGCCCTCTTGGGGCACCCTTGGGAGCCTTGGGGGCCATCTTTGGGCCATCTTGGGTGAGATCGATCACAGGAGGGGGTGTTACTAATTACAGTCCTCCCCTCAGGAAGCCAAAATGGGGCCAAAACCGTAGTACAACCAATGATTTTGGCTTCCTCGCCGAGGCCGTTTTGAACGCTCCGACGACTCGCGGGACCCCCTGTCCAGGTCCAGGGGAGGGGGTAGGGGGAGGGGTAAACCCTTCCCCGAAGGGGAAGAAGGAGGGGTGGAAGAGGAAACTCCCTAAACCACCGACGCCCAGAGGGCTGGTGGGATTCTGCGTTGCGCTCAAAGCACATGAACTCGCGTCGTCCGCGAAGCCCTCGCGTTCTGCTGTCCCGTCGGTCTCATCGCGCACTAGTTGCCAGCGCAGGTGGCCGCGCAAGGCTCTTAACAGGGCGATGTGCAGGGGAAGCACAGTGGATCAGGAGCTTGGGCGAAGACAAATACAAGCAATACAGGCAAGGATATCCGATCATATACGGCGCGCGAATATAGTGTATAAGGGGAGAACACGCCTTCGTAATTCCATCACTCAGCAGCGGAGGTTTTGGGCAATTTTCGGCCTCCGGAAGCTCTCGACAGACCCAACGGGCCGTCGAGAGACAGTTCGGGGTGAGCCCACGATCCCCAGGAATGGGCGAGCCCTCTGTGTGTCCACGTGGTGGAAAGTCACGACGTCGGCGGTCTTGGTGGTCGATCCAGCTTGTCAGGGCAGATTGTATGGGTTCGCGCCGGGGCCTGAATTTTTCTTGCGTGGGCCAGAAGGGGCAGTCCCCCTTCGTCTCGTTCCCTTCTTGACCTCCCCTCCCCTCTTCCTTTCTTGCTTTCTCTCTCTCTCTCTCTCTCTTTTTTTTTTTTTTGTTTTCTCTCTCTCTCTCTCTCTCTCTCTCTCCTTCCTCACATAGCTGCCTTGATGCCGGGCTCGAAACGGCCAGAACACGTTGCGTGTCGGCTCAACGTGTTGGCCCACGTTTTGGCGAACGTATCCCGCCAGACGTACGTTTTCAATCTACGTGTTGAGCTTCGTGTCAACACGCTACGGGGTGCGTGTTGCGTATCGGGGCAGCTAAGCTTCCTCAGCCTCCCCTCTTCTCCTGTGCCCGTGATTGCTTTGTCGCCCCTCGCCCGCCGCCGTTCGCCTGGCTTGCCCTCGTCCCTCTCTGGTCCTGCGTTCGTTCCCGGCTCTTCCACGCATGGGGTCTGACGTTGCGGGTATGCCCGGAATCGTGCCGAAGAGGGGGGACATCTCCCTGCGATTCGGCCCCTCCGTGGGCTTCCGAGGCCCGGAGCTCGGCGAGTGTGCAGCAGAGGATGCCCGACGAGGCTCCGCGCTGCACGGGCTCGGCGAGGGCCCGTTGCTGCGAGCTGCGCCCGCGCTCCTCGCAGCGCGACGCGCGCGCAACCACAGCCGCGTGGGCAAAGCACACATCCGCCTCCCCGTCCTCGCGGGCCCGGCCCCTGGGCCGGCGACCCCCGCGGGCACGGGCTGTGTTCGAACAGCCCGTGCCGGCGTCTCGCCAACGTACTTGTACTATATGTGCGTCGCCCCCCCAGGGGCGACGTGCGCACCGAGAAATCTTATAGTATAGGCGTCGTGGCGGGCGCTTTCTGGCCGCGCCGCTCGCGAAACGATATACTACAGGATGGGTATACTGTATGTTCGGGTCGGACGCGCGCCTCCGAGGAGGACATACAGTATTAGTATGTCTCTGTGCATCCCATGTTCTTTCGCGGATGCCCCGCGCGGAACGCATCTCCGTGCGATCGCGTATCCGCGGGATCGCGCCCCAGAATCCAGACCGCGAGGAGGTGGATGCGGATATTTTACGTTGCGTTTTCGGGGGACGTCGCCTGTCCCCAAAATTGTTGTCTTTTCTTGTGCCCAGCGCGGATTCGGCGCGGATTTGGCGTGGACTCGACGTGGATTCGACACGGATTCGACACGGATCTGACGTGTCCGACATGGATTCGACACGGATTCGACGCGGATAGGGCCGCGACAGGACAGACAAGGTCCCCCAAGGATGCAACCTAAGATATTCGGGCGGGTGGTACTGGGGGGTGACCTGACTGGGGGGTGAAGACATTTGCCCCACATGGGTCCCGGCAGGGCCCCTTCTGGAGCCGGCAGGGGCCAGAAGGGGGCCCCGAAAAGAGGCCCCCTGGGGCCTCCTTCTCTTCACCCCCCACGTGGGCCCCCCCCCCCTTACCTAAAGCGACGCGAAGATCGGGACAAAAATCGGATCGGGAGAACTCGAAATCGAAATCTCTGAGAATCGGCGGGTTTGGAGGATGTATCGGGCGCCGCGGCCGCTCCAGAGCGTTCCAGAACGCTCTGAGAGCGCTCCGGAACGCTCTGGAGCGATTTATCGGCAACACCCCAACATACTTATACTATATGTGCGTCGCCCCCCCAGGGGCGACGCGCGCACCGAGAAATCTTATAGTATATGCGTCGTGGCGGGCGCTTTCTGGCCACACCGCTCGGGAAACGATTTACTACAAGATGGGTATACTAGATGTTCGGGTCGGACGCGCGCCTCCAAGGAGGACATCTAGTATTAGTATGTCCATGTGCGTCCCAATTTATCCCGATCCTAGCCCTGTTTTATTACCGCCCGCCCGGGGGCAGGGATGGCGACGCGCGGAGCCAGAGCCCCCCCGCGGCGCGGAGGCTTTGGTCCTCTCGGGGCGCGCCGGCGGCTGGCCGGCACGCTCGAGGCCGCACGCTCCCGGCCCGCCGCAGTGCTCCCCGCGCGCCGCCTGCGCGTCTCTTCGGGCGGCGAGGTCTATGCACGTGCACTGCCCCCTGGAGTCTATGTATTTTTGGACCATGTTTACTTGTTTTTTGACTATTTTTTGCAGTCAAGAAATCGTCCCCAGGCTTTTTTTTGACGATTTTTGAACATTCCTCCTGTAGGGGGACACTGCCCTTCCTGGGCCCAGGAGCTGCACGCACGTCCTCCTGGCCAAGCCAGGAGGGCGTGGCGCGTGCACCGCTGCTGGCTGCAGGTGGGCCTGACCAGGGCGCCGTGGGTATACTGCAGATAGATATCGTCGCCCTATCTCTCTCTCTCTCTCTCCCTCTCAGGGGGTCTCTACGCTGCCGTGGGGCCCCGCTCGGGGGGATCGTCCGGAAGGTGTGGTTGGCGCTGTAGAGGTCGCGTGCGATGTGGCGGCGCTAGCCCGGTTCTTGCGCGCTATCCCACACCTCGGGGACACCGTGCACCGAAGAAGCCTCTGCAGCGGCGTGCATAGGAGGGATCTTGGCGGGGGGATCCCCTCACAGGGACAGCGTGCATTTCGCAGATCGATGTTGCACACTCTCTTTCCAACGCCGATCGCAGCACCGCTCGGCGGCAGTCGGGGGCACACGCGGTGGTGGCACTTCTCACGCGTGGCACAAGTGTCGGACAGGCCAGGGCTTCGGAAAGAGTGTGGTCGGGAGTGGATCGTGGGATCTCGGCTCCGCGGCCTTCGTGAGACTCGTGGCGATAGGATATCGAAGGAGTGGCTTGAACGCAAAGGACCCCGAGAGGTTCCGACTTAGTGATTGCACATTGTGTGTGCGCGTATGTGTGTGTGTGTGTGTGTGTGTGTGTGTGTGTGTGTGTCTCTGTGTGTGTGTGTGTGTGTGTGTGTGTGTGTGTGTGTATGCGTGCTTATGTTCGTGCGTGCGTGCGTGCGTGCATGTGTGTGCGCGCGTGTGTGTGTGTGTGTGTGTGTGTGTGTGTGTCGTTTGTTGTTGTTACGTTTCGTTATGCACGGGCACATACAAAAACATGGCGAAACGTGTACGCCTGGCCAGAACCGAAGTTTCGCAAACGCTTGTGCTGAGTCGATGACTGAAGCTAACATCTGCAAACCCCTGCACCGAGCCTCCAGCATCCAGCACCCACCACCCAGCTTTTGGCACCCAGCACGAGGAGGAGGAGGAGGAGGAGAAGGAGGAGGAGGAGCAGGAGGAGGAGGCCAGCACCCAAGCATCTCAGATTTCGCGGGCCTGGGCCTGCCCCGCATCTCCCCGCCTGGCAGCTTGTGGGGGTGCTCCAGGGCCCAGCGTCGACCTCCCCAGCAGACACCACTCTGTCGGCCCGGAGCATCGCAGGGGATGCACGCTTCAGCACACGTGGTTCATTTTGCTAGTTGTTCGAAAATTCCCTGATTTTCTGGGGGACCAAGATCCTTTCATTTCTAATTGATCTATCCTGGGCCTCTTCCTGGCCACCAGGAGTCGGGAACAATCAGAAACGGGCAGAATTAGAAATGAGTACGATTAGAAATGAACGACGTCTATGTTTTGGGGATGTCTGGCGACGAGTCGGGAAGGGGGATCGGCCTGAGCCCACAGGTGCACGTTCGTCGGGGCGGGTGGGTTCGGGCGGTGTTCGAGCCTGCAGCGGGAGAGTTGCCAGACCGGCCTCGGAAGGCGTTCGACGGTTGCAGAGGGGGCTTCGACAGGCCAGGGGGCTCGGAGGGCCGATGGAGGAGCCTGGGCAGGGGACGCGAGGGGCTGTTCTTCCCCTCCAGCTCCGCGCAGATCTCCCCAGGACTGGCCCTGGAGTGCCCGCCCCCTGGCTGCTATCGGGAACAGCTGGGGTAAGGAGGAGCGCAGAATTTCCGGGTTCCTCCTCTCTTGGAGCCCTCTTGCGGCGCTTTCGGGGCCTTTTGGGGTTCTTTGGGGCGCTTTGTGAGCCGTCTTGGGGGCCCCCGAGTGTCGTCTTGGAGGCTTCGTGGGGGGCTCTGGAGCTGCTGTGAGGCGATTTGGGGGGTCTCTTGGGCCGTCTTGAAGCGTTGGGGAAGCTGGGAAGTCGAAGGTGTCGGCCCCCGCGTGTCGTCTTGGATGCTTCTTGGTGGGCTCTGGAGCTGTTGCGAGCCGCCCTGGAACGTGCGGTTTCGTCACTGGGGGCCCAACGCCGATGTATGTGGCGACGTATCGCCGATTCCTGCGGCAACCCTCCCCCGCTGCACCCTGGCGTATGGCCCTTCTGTGCCAGGCGCCTCTCCCCCTCCATCCACCTCCAAGCAAGAAAACAAGAGAGAGCAACACGCAGAACTCCTCAAAAGCAATCAATAAGCGAGCACCTTCCCCTGCACCCTCCTCTCTGCGTCGTGCGGCGCCCGCATCGTCCCAGGACCGGGAGGGCCAGGAGCGCGGTGCGAACGACCCCTGCGCCCGAGCAGGCGCTCCCTTCGATATCGTCGTGGCCGGATTCTCTGACTGCCGCCGCGCTGCGCCCCCTTCTTGGTGCCGGCCCTCCTGGCCTCGGCACCCTGGCCAGCCTGCGGGCAGGTTCGTGCCGCGGTTCGACGCCGCGGCGATCCCCCGCCGCGGGATGCAGAGGTGGAAGGCCGCCACTGGCCCAGAATCCGCCGACATGGAGCGACCTGGCGATGGAAAGCTCGCCGATCGTTCGAGGTGGAACGATCCGACGCGGTGCAGAACCCGGCGCCGGGGTCGTCACAGGAGGAATATTGAAAATAGTCAAAGCATAGTTTGGCGACGATTTTCCGACTACTTCTAGTCTGTCAGTGCAATTTTTGCCCGGAAAGGGCGGGGGCCCAGGGTTCTCTTTTAGTTTTGTTCCCCCCCGGTTCCGGCCGGCGAAATTATTTGCGATAAATATCGAAATGAAATCCCATTCGGCGTGGACAAAATTGAGGATGTCCCTCGCGAAACGCGTGCTTGGTGCCAAATAACGAAGTAAAGTCCCATTTGGCGTGGAAAGATTGAGGACGTCCCTCGCCTCGTGAGAAGTGTGGCGTGTTTTATGCAGTTTTCACGTCGTGTCCAGGCCAGCCAGGAGGCATCTAACATGGTGGCAGCCGCCGTGGTACGGCCTCGGGCGGGCTCCAGGACTTTCGCGGGTTCGAGGGATCGACGCTTCGAAGGCTCGAGGGTCGAAGGATCGACGGATCGAGACATCCACTGTCCGAGGATTCGAAGGTTCGAGCGTCGAAGAGTCGGTGATGAATGGTCGAAAGCATATGCACCGATCCTGGGCCCAGGATCCACCGCGCTGGGATACGGTGCAGGCAGCCGTGCGTGAAAGGGAGAGGGGGTGGCCCCCGAGAGCGGGCCCACGTATTGCGAAGGCCAAGACGTCGCATGTCTGGGGAGGGGGTCCTCCCTCTCCTCATCTTTCCTCCATCGCCTCTCCAGGTAGGGACCTGGGTCTTTTTGAGGACGCTCCTCCTCCTCCTCCTCCTCCTCCTCCTCCTCCTCCTCCTCCTCTACAGTGATTATGGTGGAGAGTGTGGCGATGACTATGATGGTGGCGGTGTTGATGACGAGGATGGTGATGGTGGTAGCGATGTTGATGGCGATGATGAAGATGATTAGGGTGACGGCGATGATGACGATGATGATGCTGATGATGATGAGGATGATGATGATGATCATGCTGCTGCTGATGGTACTGACGATGACGATGATGGTCATGATGATGCTGTTGGCGACGACGATGATGACGATTATGCTGCTGATGATGATGATGATGATGATGATGATGATGCTGATGATGATGATGATGATGATGATGATGGTGGTGACGATGATGATGATGCTGATGATGATGATGCTGATGATGATCACTATGATGCTGCTGGTGATGATAGTGGCGATGATGTTGAACATGACGACGGATTTGCTGATTGCTCAAACGATGATTATGAACAAGTTGTGTTGAGGAGTGTGGTGGTGATGAAGGCGATGATGGTGATGTTGGAAGGGATGATGAGGACGGTGATGCTCATAATGTTGATAATGCTGCTGATGACGATGCTAATAATGATGCTGATGATGCTGATGATGCTGATGCTGATGCTGATGATGCTGATGATGCTGCTGATGATGATGATTTGGACGAGGAGGAGGAGGAGGAGGAGGAGGAGGAGGAGGAGGAGGAGGAGGAGGAGGAGGAGGAGGAGGAGGAGGAGGAAGGGGGAGGGGGAGGATGACGAGGAGAATGGGGGGCGCCGTCGGACGGCGGCAGCAGCCGCTGCGGTAGCAGCCGGTGACGGGCTGACTGGCGGAGCCGACAGCTGGCGCCGAGACGCCCCCGTGCTGAGATCGACACCATGGGTCGTCGGCGTCGGCGCTAGGATGCTGGAACCTACCTACCTTCCTTCCCACCTTTCCTGTCGTCATCGTCGTCGCCTTCCTCGCCGCCGCCGCCGCCGTCGAACTTTTCTTCTTTCCGCTGCAAGCCATTTTGGCTCAAGCGGCTTCGGGCCCCGCCCGCCGCAAGCTTGCGGTCAGGATCTTTGGCTTAGCGTGCCTCGGCGCGACACGCTAGCCACTTCCCAGGCATCAACGTCACGAGCTTTTCCCAGCCTCCTCGTCCCGCGGAGCGGAGCGACACTTTGTCCGCTCAAGGCGTAGGGTGTCGCCAGGACCGCTGCCGCGACACGCTGAGCAAAAGTTCCCGACCGTAGCTTTCAAAGACCTTAGTCCGTCAGTCACTGCCGCTCCAAGATGGAGGCAGCGACGTTGGCAGACCCCGGCCTCTTCTGGCTCTGCGCCCTGTGCGCGGCCGTCGTCGGGGTCCTGATGGCTCTGCTGGACGACGTGAAGCCGGCGGGGAATGCGTCCCACATCCTCGCACCCGTCTCTCCATCCTTCTGCTCCTCTCCCTCCCCCTCCCACTCCTCCTCCTCCTCCTCCTCCTCCTCCTCCTCCTCCTCCTCTCCTCCTCTCCTCCTCTCCTCCTCTCCTCCTC